ACCAAAATTTGAGTCTCAACAAACTTTAGAAATCAAGCAAAAGTTGGTAAACTTGAATAAAAAATAGAAGAAATATTGCTGTGTTTCAAAAAAAAAGTCGAAAAGAGACGTCCCATCTCTGAAAGAGCGGTAGAGGAAGGTGATTTTTTTGTAAGCAGTCAAACTTAAAAGCTGTAACTAAACTCAAAACTTGTGACGTAGCTGATTTCTCATGTTAAATATTGAAAAAAAAACTGAAATTTTGTTCTATAAGTCAGTAACTCTCGTTAGAAACTCAAAGCGACTTAGTCTGCAAAATTTTAACAAATTGACAAACGAAGCGATGCTAATTCAATTCATCATCTGATAAAGAGAATTTTGAAAAATTATCTGTTCTTTTTTCTGTTGAGCGTTGATGAAAAATGACGTCCTAGCACGGATATTAATCAACTTATCTGAACGTTTCCTAGAGAAAAATTATTCAATCATAATAGATGTGAAAAAAGATAAGACTGAGCTTCATAAAGGATCACGATTCATTAGATATACTTTACATATTCTCAACAAACTCTTAGTGTGGCTTTATATTCCTTAAGAAGATAAATTACTTATAAAAAGAACTCCAGAAGAACAAATGAGATCCTGGAAACATATTTTCCGGAAAAATTGGTGAAATACGGTTAAAAAACTTAAACTAATGAAAATTAAAACAAGGCCGAACTACTCAAATGAAGACTGAACGGAGTAATCAATGACAGTAATCAGGAGTAATCAATGACAGTAATTGTGACAAAATATTTCAAAGAGAAGCACTAAGAGAGGGGAAGGAAAGAAGAGAGAGAGAGAGAGAGAGAGAGAGAGAGAGAGAGGCGAGAGAGAGAGAGAGAGAGATAGAAATGTTTTTAATGTACCGTAACTTTGTTGAAAATTACGGTACTCTGCAAGTTTGATCCACGTACGGTTTTCACTTTGCGCTATTTATCAGTTTTTTCTATTAGCGCGTAATAATTGCGGTGAAATAGTTTGACATCCATTGCGGTGAAATAGTTTAACATCCTCCATGGACATATTTCGCTCAATTAGATCACCTGCCTCACGCTTCATGAGCAATAGTTGAGTTTTTGGGCAATCAATTGAAAATTATAGTATGCAACAATAGTTGATTTATTTTTGTCTATTGAGGACGTAACAAAACATGATTAAGAAAATTTTTTTGAAGTATGTAAGGGCAATAGGGTTAGTATCAGGGGCGGACCTAAGATTTTCTTGAGGTGGGGGGGGGGGACCAAAATGATTTTCGGAGCTCTCCTAAATCAGTATAAAGACCCTGCTTTGGCCAAACTTTCTGCGCCGCTGGCAAATTTTTGAAAAAACAGGCCGAAAAAGTGCGGTTTTTGGCGCGCGCTCACCCCTCAAATAGGTTATATTGGCGCCAATGGCGCCTTTAGAAAAATTTTGAGGCCGGTCAGCCAAAAAGGGATATCTCAAAATGGAACCAAGGGGGTCGAATTCCTGGGGATACCAAGGGGGTCGAATCTCAAAAAGGGATATCTCAAAATAGTACCATGGAGGTCGTCCACCCCCTCCCCTCAATCCGCTGGTGGTTAGTATTAAAAATAAAAAAGAAAAGCCGCTTAAACATATCAACTAATCAGGAACATCAGCAAGCAGGGAAATTGTAAAAATTGGAGGCGGTTTGGATTTTCAAAAATGTTTGAAAAACTTTCTCGGCTCGTTTAAGGTTGAACAACTTGATTATCCAACTTCTCCCAATTCTTTATAAAAATTCCAGTTCAATAATTTTTTGTGCGCCATGCTAGCTTCCGAGGGAAAAAACAGGGTGAAAAGATGGTTTTTGGACACTTTTTGTAGGTTTTGACCTTTATTGCGTTCAAATTTTACTTTACCTCAAAAGCAAGCGCCGTTCTTGTTTCTTGTTTATTAAATTTAAGGTTGCATAAATTAAACTCTCCACAAATTGAAAAGCAATTATTGTAGTTTCCGATAATTTCCATTAATGGTTGCTCAATCAAAGTCATTTTGCGTTTGCTTTCACGAGCCCTTGTTTTATTTTGCCAGATCAGGTGATCAATTTAGAGTTTTTTTCTCACTCATTCATCAAGTTTTTTAATTGGTGTGCAGCTTTATCAGCATCTTTTGACCGACTGCAAGCTGTTTTTTGGTAGAAAATGTCAATTTTTAGCATAAACATTTATCTCATGGGTTGAAAGCGAAAACTCCTTAAAAAGACCGTTAGTTGCTAATTTATTTTATTATTCATTAATTTTTCCGCACTGGTGAATGAAAGTAATGAAAGTTTTTCAATGAGCTAAGGTGGAAAAAGTTTTCCGCTTAATTGCTCATTCAATTTTTTTTTATGAGAAAAAGGTCTGAGTATATTTAAGTCTAACAAATCAATGGTTTTTGTGTTCACTTAGCAAATTGACTCTCCCTGATTTTCCACCAAAACAATAAGTTTTTATTAGTTTTCTCATTATGTTTTAACGCATAGTTTTTATTATTATTTTTAAATTACATTCTTCCATTATTTTTAACGGGTGACATTTTAATCTCAATCACAATAACTTTAAATTTGCACCCTGATTGTCTGTAAACAATTCGGATTTTTTAGTTTTTAAAAGCTAGGCATTTTTTGAATGTCAGACGTCAGAATTCCTTGATCAGTGATAAACAATTCCTTTATTCAAAACTGAAGTAACAATGAGGAAGACGTCTTAAGTCGGATTAAAATTTTACAAGGACATTTTTTGTTCCACCTTTTAAAGAAAATATATATGCTTGGATGGGTTTCAGTTCCGACTTTCATAACGAAAGTAACGGAATAATTGTGCTCGTGGTGGTTTTTTTCTTCAGACAAATTTCGACTTTTTGATTAATCTTTTATGACATAATTTTTTAAAAATTCTTTTCTGATAGATATATTTCGCGCTATTAAAGCGTAGGTGAAGATTTGATCCGCCTTTCAAATCGCTCCAAATTGGTTGAAGCAGGCTGTTTGCCATAATTGATTTGTTACTAGGAGCAAAATTTATCACGTTGTACTTTATATGGCGTGTGGGCGATGTTTTCACAAAAATCTCAGATTTAAAAAAAAGTTCATTTTAATTTATTACATTTAACTTTTCATGTTATTACTGCTCCATAGACCTTAAAAAGCAGTCGGAACATTCAGGACTTCGCCCTGATACGAGCAGTCTTGTTTTTATTCAGTGATTTTTTAACTGAGCATTTTGTAAACCACCTGAAAAATATTGTCGTCTTGGGCTCGAATTTAACAAACATCACACCTATGATCTTTTTTGTCCTTTAATTGGGAAAATTGCTATATTTGCCAATTTGGGATAATTAACGCGTAATATATTGCGTTCCTATAAAACCCGTGAGCGGCGATTTAATGCGTTCCAAATTAAATTGAGGTCAATCATTTGATCGTATTATTAAAACGCAAGACGCTAAATACAACCTTTTGTAGTATATATAAGACTGTGGTAGATTAAATTGAAGAAAAAAATTGAAAAAAAAAAAATTTTGACGCTTTTTTGATAATTTTGTCAACTTTTCAAACAAAAAACTTTAAGCCGACCTTAAAGTTTAATCGGAATATTGTTATATCAACAGTATATCAACAGTATATCAACAGTATATCAAATGGAACTTGATATACGAGCAGTCTTTTCAAATTTTCTAAAAGTTTTTTTTTAAATTTGATCGGACCCACATATGCAACAAAACAAACCAAGTGCGAGCAAAACTTTTGAAGCGAAGCCTAATTTTGTAAGATCGTGTGTGAACTTGTAAATTTAACGTTTTGCTGGCAAACGCCGAGAATTTTTGTACCGACCATCGATTGAAGTGGCGAAATATATCTATGCTTGTGGGCATTTTTTCTTCGAAAATTTAACATGTAAATAAGATCTGAAAACATTAGTGTTCCATGTTGAATTCAAAGCAAATGTTTCACATGTGGCTTGTTTTTGAGAACCTAAAGGCGGTGAAGACAATTCACAGTGGCTTAAGAAATCAATTCAGAGGTGTTTTAAAATTTGACAAATTTGGGATAATTAAAGAGCAAGAAGTGAGTTTTTTCAACCTGTAGCAATTGCGGTAAAGAATTGAGGCGTGATAATTGTATTGTTAATTCCCTTGTTAATCCAACTATAAACCTTTTGCTAATATTTTGACTTTTGGGAGAAGAAAAAGAAGTTGATCAAAAATTACAATATTTTTTCTTTCACAACTTCATTTTTTTGTCCTGTAGATGTGCGATGTATAATAAGGCAAAAAATGTTCAATTCTTAATTACCAACTCATTTTGAAAAAAAACAACCCATTACTTTTGAGGAAAACAACCCATTAGTTTTTCATTTCATGCAGGGGGCGGATTTAGGATTTTCAAAAATTTTGACGACCTTTTTTTTAGGTCGACAAAAATTGATTTTCTGAGCTTTACTAGAGCACTAAAAAGACGCTGTTTCGCCCAAATCTTCTGGGCCGTAGGCAAATTTTTGAAAAAACAGGTAAAAAAATCGGTTTTTGGCTACTTTTTGGAAAATTTTGACAAAAAATTTGCGTTTTATTTGGCGCGCGCTCCCCCTCAAAGATAGTATATATGAAAAGTTTTAGGAAAATTTAAGTGTCGGTCGGCCAAAAATGGATTTCTTAAAAAGTACCAAAGGGGGGACCCTTTGGGTCGGCAGGGGGCCGAATCCCTGAGGGAGAGAAAGGCGTACCCCCCCCCCCCTCCCGCCCTAAATCCGCCCGTTTTCATGCATGATATTAGTTTTTCCGTGAGAGCATTTATTGATTATAAATCTTTGTCATTTTAACCTGTGTGAATTCAATAAGTATTCGACTATTTATCAGTTTCTTCAGCTTTGGGCAGAAGCTGTGTTTTCATCTCGAGTTTTCCGCATCTTCTTTTTTGATCTGAAACTACCAAACTTTGATCAACTGTTGCTGATCAAGATAAAAAAGTTGCTGAACTTTTTTTTCCTCCAGCTTTACTACCTGTTTACCCAGCCTTCGGATATTCGAACACTTATCATGAATCGACGCGGATGTTATTCCGCATTCATACATTGCATGTCAAAATTCTTGATTTAACTTAAAAATATGTCAACTAATTCTACTCAAATTATTGTTCCAGAAGATCAACTCAAGACGGCCATTTTTATTGTCGAGCGCTTTTTATTCCCTAGTACCTGTTCCATTGCTGTGTTATGTAACTTGCTTATTATTTTGGCCGTTAAGTGGACGAAAGTTAAAAGAGCATCAAAATTGTACTTGATTCTTGTAGCTGCCAGTGACATTCTTCAGGCGTTGGCGTTAACAGGGTTCGTTGAACGGAAACTCCAACTAAATAGTTTTTCACACCCAACTATGGCGTAAAACTGGCCATACAAAATAAAACTTTGCCGTTTTCGACGGACGAGTCTTTTGAGTTACAAAAATCAAAATCAGTTTAAAAATTGGTTATAATTCTACGAATTGTTTTTCTTCTTATATTTGTTGAAAATTTTCTGGAAAGTACTAAAAGAGCGCAAGCTTTTTACCATATGGTTTTTTTCCTTAGGTATGAGGATCGAAATCATTTTTTTGACGAATGAGTTAGAATTTTCTTGACCATCAAAGCTGACATAGTCAAAACAAAGGATAGACAAAGAGGAGTATCACATTTTTTAGATTTTCATTAACTTTTCCTAAGATAAAAGTATTGCTCACTAAGGCTTCTTAAAAATTCGTCTGATAATTTTATTTCCAAAGGTTTAATTTTAAGGTTTATTGCTTTATATTTAATTTTAAATTTTTTTCATTGCTTTAAAGGTTTAATTTTAAGGTTTTTTGTAAAAATAGATTTTTTGTTTAGAGTTCTGAGCTTCGGCACTTCCGACATAACGTGTAAGTTATCTGTCTGGTTTGGCTTATCTGCTGTTGTTGCGGCCCAAAATGAGATGTGCATAATGACCATTGACCGATTCGTGACTCTGAAGAAATTCACGTGGTATCGGGACAATATAATGTACAATTTGCGATATCCCATCAGAGGTGAGTTTTTTATTTTCTAGCAGCAATCACATTTCAAATTGCACCTAAATTCGCAAGAAAACAAAACACATTGTAAATTTTTTGTAGATTCGTTTTTTTTTAAATTTTCTAGGATTTTGGTGTTATGACAGGCAGGCGCGGATCTGGGATTTTCTTGAGGGGGCGGATTGAGAAAAATTTTGACAAAAACAAAGATTTCTTACAATAAAAAAATAAACAAAATTAAACAAAATTGAGTTTTTGATTTTTTGCGGCAAATCTGTCAGTGACCTCTTCGACTTTGATTTCTACATCTTTGTGGATGTAAATCAGCGCCAAGTTTGAGAGCCGGTCCTCCTTCATGTTGGAGCGGAGGTAACTTTTTAGTGGTTTCATGCTCGAAAAAGAGAGCTCAACAGTTCATACCGTCACTGGGATGGTAGCAACAATCTGGAGCAAACAAAAATTACTGGCATTGTGACTTTGTAACACAATCTGAGTGCAGCTTTGAAGGTTTCTGGAGTATCAGTGTGCAGGGGGGAGTTCGAAGTTTTTCCAAACTTCGAACTCGCAGGGGAAGTCACCATCTGGAAGTAACCCTTCGTATAATTGGACCAGATCATCAAAATCTTCCTCCTTTGCATCCTTCTCTCTTATCCAATGGGGTAGCAGCTTGCACACTTGAACACAAGAAGAAGCTTATCCAACGAAGCGTTCCTTGAGATCCGTCTGCATGTTTCCAAATGCTGAGCCAGCACTTGATCGCCACTTGCTGCTCTGAACTGGAGAAGGGCCTTGAAATTTCCAGATCTGACGTCGATTTGCTCAGAATTAGTTGAAACCATTGAAACCCCGTCATCTGGGTGGCCACGGAAAGGTAATCCCAGGCGGGAAGTGAAGATGATTGTGCTGACGAACGGAGCCAGTAACTTCCTGTTTTGCTCCATTTTTTTGCAACTGCGCGATCCAGTTTCACATTCATGTTGCTGTTTGGGTTTCTGACAGAATCAAGGAAGGTCTCCGCTTTCTCCAGTGATTTCTTGTGAAGGGCTGTTTTCTGATGTGGATCCAAGTAGTTTGAGAGGCGTGCACACTTTTTGAACGGCTTGTTGACCAGCTGAATCTCTACTGAGCCCCCGCTTTCTTTATCTCTTCCAGGTCGGCAAATCAGAAGCAGAAGCGGCAGTAGAGTCCCTCTTGGATCATGGAGTAGGTCAGAAACTGGTATTTTTCCAGGTGCTGGGGGCTAAGAGTTCACTTTTCTTGTTTTCCATATTTCGTCACAAGTTCGTATGGCCAGACTTGCAGTGGGGGTTTTTGGGGTTGTCCAGAAGTGCAAACTTGATATCCCTGTCCATGTCCAGTGAGCTGAAGTTGTAGATGCCGACCTCAATGTAGGATGGAGAGTGTAAAACTTGCTCGGAGAGCGGAGATATAGAACTAATTGATGAAAGAGATTCATATTTTATGGTGGCTAAAGGAGCCAATGGCTCTAAGAGCCTTGAAGGTCCAGGTATGGGCGTCTCAGGAGTGGATGATCCAGGGTTGTCAGGCTCAGGAGTGGTTGCAGTGGATGAAAGTGGTGACTTGTTGGCTCCACCGGTGAAAAAATCCTTGAGCGTCTTGAGGTCAGAAGCCTTGGAGTCCTTGGGAGCAGTCCGCTTTGACATCTGTAAGGTTGAAGTTGAAGTCCAGGGTCCTGTCCAGAGTGCAGTGTGAAGTCCAGTGAAGAACAATTTGAAATGAGCTAGGTAGCTTTGAACGGGGTATATATACTGTGAATGAGGCAAGAATGTGGCAAAAATGGGGCGAAAAAATTTGTCTAATTTGAGGCCTCAAAAAAGACCTATTTTCACACCTTGAATATCACACCTCAAAATTTTCTTTGATATAAAGGCCGAAGGCGCCCTTTGAAAAAAATTAAATAAATTGTCCAAAAGGGGACCCTTTGGTATTTGCTAGGGTCAAATTCCTGAGAGGAAGCGTCCACTACCACCCCCCCCCCCGCACCCCTAAATTCGCCCTTGATGACAATGTTTCAAAACTTATTTGCTCATTTTTTTCTAGTTATTTTCCTGCCAAATCCATGAGACAAAAACTAATATCAGAAAGAAAATCATCTCATTTCTTTACGTTATTTTTTCTTTCAGTGACATTGGCGAATTACATCCTAACTACTATCCTCTATTCGCCCGCATACTTTGTTGCTGTATACAATCAGAAAAACGATGTCTGTGAACCAAGAGAAGAAACAGGTCAAGATTTATTTTGGAAACAAATATTCGCGTCTGCCGGAGTGTTTTACATTGTAGTACCATTGCTTGTTATCACTGTTCTCAGCCTCATTATTGTGAAAAACCAAAGGTAAGTAACAAAGTGAACAACCGCCCCTTAAAAGTAATTTAATCCGCAAAACGTTCAATTGCTTTAAAAGTATTTTTTATCAGACTTTCAGATTCGCGCATTCCTAATCTTGACTGTCGGAATTGTTTAACTATTATATGGGAAATTGTTACTTGGTTAGTTTAAAGAAGACGTTGTCAAATGATTCCAATTAAAATATTATTCTAGATACAAAGCTCTAGTTCTTCTAATTTGTGTGCTTGCCATTATTAGCTATAAAAATCACTAAAAGTCCACAAAAAGAACATGAGATTGTTTTATAACTCCAGGAAAATGAGCATGAAACATCTCGAAGTCAGTTTTGGGATGAATTATCTATCTATTGAAAATATTAATGTCGTTTTAGCTGGCAGCATTTTGTTGGGGTCTAAGGCCTGGAAGATACATGGGTCAGATCTGGTGCTGATTCGCTCAGATCTGGTTCAGATCTGACCCATATATGTTCCAGGTCTGAACCAGGCCTTGAGCAGGTCTGCTTTGTGATAAAATCCATACCTGCTCCAGTCCTGATTCAGACATGACCAAGTCCAAACGAAACACGCACCATGTCTGGACAAGATCTGAAAAAGGCAAGATTTTAAGATGCTCAGATCTGGTTTCCAAGTTTTTGTTGGATAATTTTCCACTCACTAAAATCCATCCGAATCGCACTTAAATCCATCTGAATCTCACTTAAATTCATTTTAAAAGACCCCTGAGCAGATCGATTCAAGGGTCTAAAAACAGCTTAAGGCAATATTTTTTGCTAACAAGGCGAAAAAATAAGCTGCTTAAAAAACTTATTGAAACGTTTTATTCTTAATATTTTTTTTAAAAAACGTGCCATATTTTGAAGAACTCAAGAAAATAATTTAGATACATTAGATTTTGAGCTCAGAAATATGCAATAAAATCATAGAAAATTATCATTGTATATTAGATATTGGGTTAAAACTTATGTATCAAATCAACAAATTGGTCAATGTATATCAAATTCGAATGTTACAAGGTACCATTCTGTAGCAGTTAATTTACTTTGTAATTTCTTAAAAATTGCTATGTGCATGTAAAACAAAATTGAAACTAGTCTTCTAATCGGCATTTTGGTCATAATCGAAGTTTTCCCAAAAGTCTGTAAAAATAATATCAATTGTTTTGATTCACTTGGTGACTATAAAACTATAAAATGTTGAAAACGGAGTTAAATAAATCTACGAAAATTAATCCATGAACCCAAAATACCTGCCGTGGTCCGTGGCCATCAAGAGTTTGAGAACAAAACTTTTTATATTCTTCTCTATCGTTATGTTCATGTTTTTGCAGCAAACTGTACAAGAAACCCATCAGCTTGAAAATCAAGCTGATGGGTTTATAATTTGTTGTATCAAAAAAGCAGCACGATAAGTGGTTGATGAATTCCATTTGAACGTAGGTTTTGGACGGAATTTCTTAGTTCTTTGCATAATAAACCCCAGATGAAATAAAAAAAACATTAAAACATGGATCATTTTAAAGCTAATCATTTTGTACAAATGCTAGACTCCGGTTCATGTGATTACGAAGTTGATTAATCAAGGGCGGTTTTAGGGGCAGGGGTGCAGAAGCTTCTTTTCAGTGATGCAGCCCCTCACTACCTAAAAGAATCCCCACGCTGATACTACTCTACGACATCCATTTCCAGCCGGCCGACCATAAAATTTTTCTATAAGCTCCTAAAGAAATATCAACAAAACCTTCACATTTTTAAAATGAAGAACAACAAAAATGAAAAACTATATATGAATCCTGGCCTATTTTTAGAAACACGAAGCGTTTATTGCGTTTAAATTGGTGTTAAAAATATCATATTTCAGCAAGTGGCCTCAATGCTATCTATGTTTACCCGGGTTCAACAAAAATGCTAGTCAAACAATTTTCTGATTTCCAAAATGCTAGTCATAACCTTTTCATGCAATTATAGAACAACGCATGAAAAGTCTAATGATTGGCGGTTTTTGTATAGGAAATTTGTATACTTAGCATTATTTCACTGAACAAAAAAATTACTTTCTTAAAATTTATTTTAATCGAAGCTTTTAGGATTGTTTTTTATAAAAAAAATCAATTGTAATAAATGAATTGTCAGTTAACCAGGCGTTGATCAAGGCATACATTAAAATGCCAAACAAAATAAATTAATGTTTTGAGCGTTTTCGAAAAAAATATCCAGAGAAACGGAAAAACCCAATTTTGGGTATCCAGGACTACATTATGCACGCAATACAGTGAGTTTTGCAAGCAAAAAAAATTATGGATTTTTTTCTAGCACCAAGTTTGGCATCAAAACCAAATGCTGGTCATGCAAATTCCATATATGGAAATTGTATGATTAGCAATTTTTTTGATAAAAAGCTTTTCTTTTTATTTATTTCGATACACCGACTTTTATTCAAAATAAGAAAAAAGTTATTTTAAAATTCGATGACACCATTTTAGCAAACTGTAAAATGTATGAGTAGTATTTTTTCATAAAACCAATTTATGGAATTGTATAACTAGCGTTTTCGGTCTATGGATGTCAACCCGGATAGGTAGCCCAATACACCAATGAATACAAAAATGAGATACTGGTTTATTTTTTGTAATCTTGTAGAAAGTGGTGGTATGTAGTAGGTGAAGAGGTAGCGTTGTTTTCCCTCCAAATTCTGCGAAGAAACTGAATTAATGAAAATGATTAATAAAAATTTTCCAGATCAAAGCACCGCTGCGAAAAACTCTGAAAATTCAACAAGGAATCCGAATTATTCTATTTGAATCAGAATAACGGCGGCAAAGATTATTCGATATAGAACAACACTTCACTACATAAAAACCTGTTTCAGGCTACCTGGAAGCGTGCGAATTAAATAAATAGATTTTTTACTGATGATTTGTATGTTATGCATTTCGCGGAAATATCTGAACTTACAAAGCTTTATTTTTTTCGCAATTGTCTTTTATATAAGTTTTATTAGAGGTAAAAAAAAAATGGGAGTATTCACACAATTAATTTTTTCAAACTGTAACCCTAATCTACCTATTTTGAAACTTTTTTCAAATGATGTAAACTTGACATATGTATCCTTCTGGAAGTTTGCTGTGTAACTGCCAGAGGCTAACAGAAACACTTAAAAACACTGAAAATACCCACAAACAGCAAAAAAGTATAATGAATTATTGTAATAGAATGTAAAATCTTTCTTATATCTTGCAAAAAGAATGCAAGTCTTGCGAAAATCTTCCAAAATACATGCAAAATCTTGCAAGAACACGGCACGAATAATGTATTTTTTTTTTGCAAGACTAGCATTCCGAGAGCACTCGGGCGGAACAATATATTACTTTTCTATTGGTACTTTTGTAAATTATTTTAACTAGGGGCATGATAATATCGCTTCAAGAGCTGAACCACTTGGACAACACAGAAGCAAAAATGGAGCGCAACTTGACAACTGGCATGCTGATTTGCAACATCAGCTTCATCGCTGTTGCCAGCATGTCGTTTTTGCTTCTTGGAATTGGCCGACTTATTGATTATGGGTTGGTTGCGGGCGAAACATATGGTATCTTCTTGGAACTATCAGATAGTGAATCAAATCAAAGTTATTAAAATGTTTCATTTAGTACAAATAAAATTTGCATTGCATAATCTGCCACTTGCGTGAAATTCAAAAATTCAGAAATTGCTATTCAACAATGAATTAATGAAATTTTTTAGTTAAACACGTCTTTCCAAAAATAGTGAGCTAGCATAAATGAGTATTTTGAAAATGTTCAATTTGAGAAAGGGATTTTCAAGTTTTTACTCAATTCAGTTGTTTTTTCAACATTCAATGTAGGAACGGAGTTGTGATATCAGAAAGGTAAGTCAAAATACTCTTTAAAAAGCTCACAAACAATTGTTCTTTGATTTTAGAAAATATTATAAAGTTTTCACTATCTGATTCTGCTCTAGTCTCTGAAAACCGTTTCGTAGTGCGACTCCTAATCACAGACTTGTTCCTTCTGTGTACCTGTCTCAACATGATCATTGTGTTTGCCCTGTTTATATGTCAAAACACAGAATTCAGAAAGACTCTGAAAGAAATTTTTTTGATCATGACGCTTCGTTCTTAAATTACACAGAGGACACGCCCATATAGCAGAAGTACGACGAGGCAACTTCGAGATAAAACGACATTCATTGCAAAGATGTGACAATCTGGAAACAAGCCAAGTTTTTAATTATACTTTATTTTTTAATTGTCGCAACAAGTTATATCATTTCTTATGAATGCATGTTCAAAAAAAATTACAGTTACTTTTGATAATTTGAAACAAAAAATAATCGGGTTTTCAGATTGATCAACTATCTCATGATTGATGATGTCTGTATAATGAATGGAAAAAGAAAGTTCAGATGTTTTATAGGAAAACGTTAATGAACATTATCAAAACAAGCGAAAAATTTATATTTGTGCAAAGAGGTTTTACATATAATCAATCAAGGAGCAAGTTTATTTTGAAAGAACGTTTTGCTCCTTTTCCAAGCCTAATTTGTCTCGACTGAGGAACAAAATACGCTTCAACGTATTTTTAAAACCTTTGTTAATCAAATTATTTATTTTGTAAGAAATTTTTTTGCACCACATTAGAAAATTACACCTTGCGCTTACAAAAAAACCATTAAAAAGAATTTAAAAAAAAACACTTTTTCTTTTTTTGTTAAAATTAGTGACCGTAGTCGGAACTTTCTTGCGACTCGCACATCCATCTGGTAATTTTTTTATTTATGTTTTAGTATTTGTCAATAATTTAGGTTTTTGCTGTTCTTTTTTCATCATGGAGAGAGAGAGAAGGACTTATTTTACCAAATTTACAAAAACAAGAAAAAATTTACAAAATAAGGATCGAAAATGAAGACAATTACATTTTGCTGACCAGAAAAATCAGTGAGGAAGTCAGAAAAGTCAGAAAGGAAGCTGTACTTGGTCAGTAAAATGTAACTGTCTTCATTTTCGATCCTTATTTTGTAATTTATTTCTTGTTTTTTTTAAATTTGGTAAAATAAGTCCTTCTCTCTCTCCATGATGAAAAAAGAACAGCAAAAACCTAAAGTATTGACAAATACTAAAACATATGTAAAAAAATTACCAGATGGATGTGCGAGTCGCAAGAAAGTTCCGACTACGGTCACTAATTTTAACAAAAAAGAAAAAGTGTTTTTTTTTTGAAAATTCTTTTTACTTGTTTTTTTTTTGTAAGCGCAAGGTGTAATTTTTTAATGTGGTGCAAAAAAATTTCTTACAAAATAAATAATTTGATTAACAAAGGTTTTAAAAATACGTTGAAGCGTATTTTGTTCCTCAGTCGAGACAAATTAGGCTTGGAAAAGGAGCAAAACGTTCTTTCAAAATAAACTTGCTCCTTGATTGATTATATGTAAAACCTCTTTGCACAAATATAAATTTTCGCTTGTTTTGAAAATTGTTCGTACATACACCATCAATTTTTGTTGTAAATTCTTTAAAAACTAACTCTCTACTATAAAAAGAAGAATGCGGAGTTTGGCTCATCAAAAAATAACACTTAAAACTACATTACTTCCGAAACTTTCTTTGAAAACTAAATTTTTTAATTTTTCTGGTGATCCAAGAATTTTGGATTTTTGATCAAGAAAACTCAACAATACGACATCACATTCGATTAATTTGGCAGCTTTTGGATTCCGCAGACTCTCCCTCTCTCTCTCTCTCCCTCTCTCTCTCTTTCTCTCTTATTTCCTCAAAAGAAACTTTGAATCGGATTCTAAGCTGCCAAATTAACCGACGGTGATTTCGTTTGTTGCGTAATGTAGATCCCAAGAAACCAAAACGCTTGAATCTGCGAAAAAAAATTACAAAAAAGCAAATGATTCTAGATTTTATCGACAAATGGTGGAACCCAAAGACTTTTGACGGAATTTCATTCAATTGAAATAATTGTCTGTCGAATTAAAAACAAACAAGACTGATCGTGAGTGTTCCGACTGCACTTTAATTGGTCATTTAAAAGAAAGTATTTAAAAACTATAAATTTCGGACAACATCAAAGATTAAGTGTGAAAAAATTGAGTCAGAAGAAAGTAATACAACAGATAAGCTAGCCTCAATTCAATTTGAAACAATTTTTTTTTGCGGGATAATTCACCATGCATAATTAATTTGCGTTTTTAACATTATGAAAAAAAAAATTTCACAGAGCAAATTAGTTCAGAGCATGCCCTAATTTGCTGTTTTCAAACTCCCAAAATTTTGCAAAAAAAGATCGGAGGTATTCAGGGAGTCAGTATCTTCGATGGGGTGAACTTTTTTGATAAAATTTGTTATTATGATCGCCGAAAAATGACTGAATAAAAAAACCACCCCGAGCATAAATATTCCTTTTTGTTCGAAAGTCGGAACAACAAGGCTAAGTTTTGCCGGCAAATTTCATATTGACGCTTGATTTAAAATTTTTGCTCGCTAGCTAAATAGCGCAATTGTTTCAGAATTTCTGCAATTCAATAGTCCCAGTTGAATTGAAATCAATATTTAAACATAAAACACTAGGCTATTTAGCTGGCGAGCAAAAATTTTGAATCAAGCGTCAATGTGAAATCTACAGGCAAAAATCTAGCCGTGTTTGTTGTTATTTCCATAAACAAATTGC